AGAGAGTAAACACCTTCAGTTCCATTCATTATTGCTGCCCAGACTTGTTCTATCCTCAGTCACATGTCCACATCAAATAGCAGAAACTCAGTGAAGCTTGTCAAATTGTCAAAAAGAGAAAACCTCATTGAATTCATCACTACTCTGCAATCCATGTCGGTCAATTTGATTTTAGGAAACAATTTCTATGTGAAAATTCCATCTTTCTAATGACGTTTAATGAAGGCAGAAAAATCAGTGAAGAAAAGGACTCATACATTAGCTGTAGCAATGTAAAATGATCAGGAAGACACCACAGTCACATGGGCTGCTGTGAAGTTGCTCGGGATGTTTCATGACGTTAAGAGTGTATTATCTACAAATATATATATCGAAGTTATATATAGATATCAGATATATCTTATGTATATAAGAATATATAACCAAACCATCATGTCTGGTTTTGGGAACGTTGCCACAAAATGGGATCCTGCTGTGCAGATCCTGTGTTTCCTACATTGTTTACATTTTTCTTGGCACCCAAATGATGTTTTGTGCTCACACTGAAAGTGGGAAGGATCAATTTCTGGGCCATTTCTACTGTTACTATGACAGGGAGATCAAACTTCTGTACAACCAAATATGATGAATGTTCAAATGGTGGAAACAGATTGTATGGTGACTTTAAACTGGCATTGAAGGATAATAGGGCTATGGAGTAAGAGTAAAGGGGAGTTGGTCAAATTACAAGCAAGGAATTACGGTATGTGGGCCTTCTGCAGGCAGATGGGATTAGTACCCTCCCTCAACCTCTTCATCTCCAACTGCCGTCGAGACATCAATCGCCTCAACCTCTCCACCCCTCTCACCCACTCCAACCTCTCCCCTGCAGAATGTGCAGCCCTCTGCTCCCTCCGCTCCAATCCCAACCTCACCATAAAACCCGCGGACAAGGGAGGCGCGGTTGTAGTATGGCGCACTGACCTCTACATCGCCGAGGCCAGACGCCAACTCTCCGACACCTCCTCCGACCGCCCCCTTGATCATGACCCCACCCCCGACCATCAAACCATCATCTCCCAAACCATCCACAACCTCATCACCTCAGGTGACCTCCCATCCACGGCCTCCAACCTCATCGTTCCCCAACCTCGCACTGCCCGCTTCTATCTCCTTCCCAAAATCCACAAACCTGAATGCCCTGGTCGACCCATTGTCTCCGCCTGCTCCTGCCCCACCGAACTGATCTCCAACTATCTAGACTCCATTTTCTCCCCCTTGGTCCAGGAACTCCCTACCTATGTCCATGACACCACCCACATCCTCCACCTCCTCCAGAACTTCCAATTCCCCGGTCCCCAACGCCTCATCTTTACCATGGACGTCCAGTCCCTCTACACCTGCATTCCCCATGCAGATAGCCTAAAGGCCCTCCGCTTCTTCCTGTCCCGCAGGCCCGACCAGTCCCCCTCCACTGATACCCTCATCCGCTTAGCCAAACTCGTCCTCACACTCAACAACTTCTCTTTCAATTCCTCCCACTTCCTACAGACAAAGGGGGTAGCTATGGGTACCCGCATGGGCCCAAGCTACGCCTGCCTCTTTGTAGGTTACATGGAACAATCCCTCTTCCGTACCTACACCGGCCCTAAACCCCACCTCTTCCTCCGTTACATTGATGACTGTATTGGCGCCGCCTCGTGCTCCCACGAGGAGCTCGAACAGTTCATCCACTTCACTAACACCTTCCACCCCAACCTTAAGTTTACCTGGACCATCTCTAACACCTCTCTCCCCTTCCTGGACCTCTCTGTCTCCATATCGAGCAACCACCTAGAAACCGATATTCATTTCAAGCCCACCGACTCCCACAGCTACCTAGAATACTCCTCCTCCAACCCACCTTCCTGCAAAAATGCTATCCCCTATTCCCAATTCCTTCGCCTCCGCCGCATCTGCTCCCAGGATGAGGCATTCCACTCCTGTACATCTCAGTTGTCCTCGTTTTTCAAGGACCGTAACTTCCCCCCCTCAGTGGTCGAGAACGCCCTCAACCGTGTCTCCCACATCTCCCGCACCTCATCCCTCACACCCCGTCCACGCAATAAGAACCAAAAAAGAATCCCCCTCGTCCTCACGTACCACCCCACCAACCTCCGGATCCAACGCATCATCCTCCGACACTTCCGCCATCTGCAATCCGACCCCACCACCAAAGACATCTTTCCCTCCCCATCCTTATCTGCTTTCCGGAGGGACAACTCTCTCCGTGACTCCCTTGTC